ATCTCCTGATCCAATTGCAAAAAAATTAGCACCATTCGATTCAGCGTCGTCGAGTTACCATTATATCAAGTTTTTGGCCAAGAAACACAATTAGCTCAGTTTTTCTTTAATTGAGCAGACTATCAGGCAGATGACGACGTCTATAGGCGACGCTCGTAGCAAAAGGGTTAAATATGGATGTTCCAATGCTTAACGGAAGAGGAGCATATATAAAAAATAGACGCATACCATAATTAAGTTTCAAATAATTCATAATTTACTTTTCTTTTTTTTATCTATTACTGTTTATTACCTAAAATAATAATATTTAAATTTATGGTATTACATCGTTAATTTAAAAAATGCAATTACAATTTATTTAAAAATTTAAAATTGATATTCTCTTTCTGAATATCCGCTGTTTTCTATTAAAATCTTGCATTAACGGCTTTATAGACACACAGCAATTACTTTGAGACAAGTAATACAGAGACACATGGATTAATACCATGCCATTACATTATACGAATAATTTTAATTTGATTGACTATAAGAAGAGTATAAATTGATAAAATAAATTGTTTTAGAAAAGTAAAAAGAAATTTGAATTAGGAAAATCAATAAATTTACAAATTTATAAATTCAATGATATTTTATTGAATCATTTACATACGCTCGCTTCTTTTCACTTCCTTCACTTGTAAGCCTAAAATAAATATAGCAGGCTTCAAAAACACATAATCTTATTTAAATAAAATAAGTCGGAAACTTATATACAGATTGTTACAGAATAAGTTGAAAATATAGAAATGGCTTCAGTACATCAAAACAAGAAAAGAAGTTCCTATAAGCATATGTTTTATTTGATCTTGATCCAGAGTCATAACAAATTATACGTTTAGTGTTTCTACCGGAACGATTATTTTGATAAATAAAAATAATATGTTGCATTTGATATGATACATCAGTGTACCACATGTAGTTTGTGCACAACGGAGTACCTCCGCATTTTTACCGACTAGTCAAATAATTTTTAAATGAACGATTTCCAAACAAATAGATAAGTTGTGATAGTTCTATTGCCTAGCTTGCTAGCTCACTTGATTCGAATCTACTGAATTTTTACTTCTGGGGTTATTTAGAATACATTGTTTATAAAAAGCCTGTCATTTTAAACATCTCTTGTGAATAAAAGTGCATTTAGTCATTAAAACTCCAATTCGCTATAACTCTTTTCTTGTTTCAATGTGTTGAAGCCATCCCTATATTTCCCACTTTTTGTTGCACCTTGTGTATATATGTATATATTTTACATACCTGGTGGCAAAGATTGCTTTAGTTTCTCTGCCTTTTCTTTATCCGTAATGACAAGAGTATAAAGAAATCTCGAACAACGGACCTTAAATTTAACATTGTCTGCATTTTTCTTTATCTTGACCGCTATTGAAATCAAGTAGAAATTAAGTTGTAATACGTTGTTGTTCACAGAAGATGTTTTTTTAAAGCTAATAGTCTTTAACACTTACATTTGGCATCTTTCCTCCTCGCCTTCAAGAGAAAATCTTTGATTTCCTTTATTTCACGTGGCTATAAAAAAAGATGTGAAGTGTTATATTATATATATATATAAATGGTTAACATATATAAAATTAAATTATTTAATTTATATACATAAGTATATAAATTATTAGCAAATTAAAAAAAAAGTAAAAAATTAAAATGCACAATATTGTGTAATATTAAATTTAATTAAAATTTGTAAACAATCAATAAGTTCATGGTTACTTCTACAAGATTTCATTGATATAGAAAAACACACACATACACAATCAGCTAATCCATTTTTAGTGATTTTTTTTTATAGACTTTTATAAATATCAAAACATAAGAATATTAATATTAATAAAAATTTACCATTTTGAATGTAATTAGTGTTTGATCAGCAACTCCTAAAACATTCGAAGAAATAACCTAGTTAGAAAAACATATTGAAATGACACTTTCGTAATCCACAATTATATATTTTTACACATATTAAACTTAACAAATCAATGAAATGATATAGGATTATTTTCTAGAACAAAGATTTTATTTTACTTGAATACGCGACTCACCTCTTCGTAGTTAAACCGGAAAAAGGAACTTTCAAGAAGATCGAAATAAGTAATCTGAGATTTGGAATAAATGCACTGCAGCACTCTCTACAAAAAATTGATGAACTTTCTGTTATTTGTATGAAATAAAAACTGTCGATAAGTCTCTGTCGGTAAAAATAAACATAGCTTGTGTTACGTCGATAATGTCTGATTGATATAGAAGCTACGATCGGAGTATCTCTTTCTGTGGGTGTTACTAGATGGTGCTCGATTGCTGCCGGATACTCTACTTATATATATATATATATATATATATATATAACACAAATACATAAATATATATAAAGTATCGGGTATAACATGATAAAGCTAAAGTTATTCATCTCTGAAATGATTGCCTGAGAGTAAACCAGTTAATAATTTTAATAATATTTTTTTTAACATAATATAAAATATTTTTTACTTTTATACAGAGTTAAACAAAACCATACCATTAAGGTAAACTGAAGAACATACAATTTACGAGATAACACATTAATTAATGATTATTTTATTTCAAAGTTAACATTCAAATATTTCTCTCTTCAAAGTATGACAGAGCACAATTTTCCTGTTTTACAAAATGATCGAATTTTCAAAACAATTCGTGGTGAACAAGTAGATAAAGTTCCTGTATGGATTATGAGACAAGCAGGACGTTATCTTCCAGAATTTCAAGAAGTTCGTGCGAAGCATGATTTTTTCGATGTTTGTCAAAATCCATCATTAGCAAGCGAAGTAACATTACAACCTATTAAACGTTTTGATTTAGATGCAAGCATTATATTCTCTGACATTTTAACTATTCCACAAGCAATGGGTTTGACAGTTGAAATGGTTCCTAAAGTTGTAAGAAATGTATAGTATTAATTAATAATATATATATATTTTTTTTTTTTCATTAAAATGTTAATGCAATTTTGTAGGGGCCGGTCTTACCTAATCCTTTAAACGATCCGTCAGATTTATCACGATTGATAAAACCCGAAGTAGAAAAAGATTTGAAATATGTTGGAGATGCTATAACATTAACCCGTCATAAACTAAATGGAAAAGTTCCACTTATAGGATTTACTGGAGCACCCGTTAGTATTTAATTATATGTCTTAAGTATAACATTTATATATATATATATATGTCTATGTTCAATAATCATAGTATCATTTTAGTGGACATTGATGGGTTATATGATTCAAGGTGGTGGTAGTTCTGTTATGGCTAAACCACGCACTTGGCTTTACAAATATCCTAATGAGTCACATCAACTGTTACAACTTATTACCGACGTAGTAATAGATTATTTGGTGATGCAAGTTAAAGCTGGTGCTCAGGTACAATTGAATAAACAGCTATATTATTACGCAATATGCGATTATTAATTAATACTCAATATTATATTTTAGTTATTGCAAGTTTTTGAAAGTAATGGAGATTATCTTAACGACGATCTATTTTCAAAATATTCTCTTCAATATCTTGTAAAGATCAGTAATGAAGTAAAGGCAAAGTTAAAGGAACAAAATATTACGCAAGTACCAATGGTAACATTTTATCATTCAATTTCTTTTAAAAATTAAACAAATTTTTTTTAATATTTCAATGATTGCAACACGACTATCTTTTTCTAGATTGTTTTTCCTAAAGGTGCAACGATGAATTCTTTAGAAATGCTTGCAAAAACACAATGCTATGAAGTAATAGGTTTAGATTGGACTGTAGATCTACTGGAAGCAAGAAATCGACTAGGAACAAATGTTACCTTACAAGGGAATATGGATCCATGCGCGTTATTTGCAACTGCAGTAATTATATTCCAAAATTATTTTCTCTCTTATTTTATTTCATCTAAATAACTAAGATAAAACGGATTTGTTTGTATATAAATACTTTTCATTATCAGGATAACGTTACTCATAGAGCTCAACAAATGGTAGAAGTAATTGGTAAAAGCAGATATATAGCAAATTTAGGTCATGGCATTCTACCAGATACACCAATCTCATCAGTTGAAGCTTTTATAAAAGGTATTCATGCTGTCTAAATATATGGGATGTGATGATGATGTATAATATATAATATATGTACATATCTAAAAAAGAAAATTAAAAATATACAATATATATGATCGTATTTATATATAATAAAAATACTATACATTATATAATTACTGTGTATTTTCTTGGAAAAGAAAGAAAGGAAACCAAATCAGATTGTATCAAGCGAGAGTATCGCAAGTTCAAATATCCCGCCAAGCGTATTGATATAGCCAATCATAGGCAGTCATGTAATCTTAGCTGTTCGGATAGGTCAAGTATAAAGCTAGCCGCGATGACGATGGCGCAGTTCTACCTTCAATTTTTCGCATGTTAAATGTCTATCAGCAGTCTGTTCTGTCATATCAATGTATGAACCGTTAAAAAATAAAAAATATCATTATCGAATTTGTTGCAAAGGCGGTGAACAATATTAAATAAAAATTAAACAATCGAGTGGAGATTATTTTGAAATAATTTTGTTTAGAATGGAGAGTCCTTTACCTCATATTGTTGAAAGTGCGGATTGTGATAATACGATAAAACCGAAAGATAGGTTAGTCAGTTTGTTGGATCAAATAGAATTACATGTAGAACAACTTCGGAAAGATGCCTGGAGACTTGAAGAAGAAAAGGATACTTTATTAACTACTTTAGATAATATTAGAAATAATGAACTACTAAGTGGATTGGAAGAACGTGAGTTTTATAACTGCTATGATCTATGTGATTTTAAGATATCTTTGTTTGTCAAACATTCGAGTTGCATCTAGAAAATCTCTTAAAAACATTGCAAAGGTGTATGTATTAGTTTTTGATAAGTGATTTTATCGAATCACGCGAAATTTTTTGTATACTCCTTCTTTTATATACGATATTTTTTGTTTATTTAAGAAATTATATGATAGCATTGATGGTTTTAAATGCTTTTCACGATATACGTATGTATACATTTTTTTTTCATTTAAATGTTATATTTTTCAATTATTGATTAAAACACAATGAAGCATTTTGTAAATTATTAATTAAAATGTTCATTTATAAATATTTAAATTAAACATTAATAGTAAGATATTTATGCCCTTTCTAAGCAGCAGACAAAGATGATGTATTAAGATATGCTGAAAGATTATCCATGCGGTGTTTAACTGTTGATGTTTTAGTGAAGATACAACGTGATAATGTCCAACAGGAGGCATTACATCAAGTATGTTTCATTATAATTATATACATATTTGTAACATAATTTAATAAATATAGGTATCATATTTAATAAACAATTATTATTTTTAAGGTAAATGGTTTAATAGATGGTTTAATTATTAGTCTTCGTCAAGACCCAAGTGGAACCAGACAAAAATGTGCAGCATTTATGAATGCTTGTTCATCTCATGCAATGGGTCATTCAGATAAAAATTTTGAAACTGCTATCCTTGGATGTACCTTAGATGATCAAAAAAGAGTGAAGAAAAGACTGCAAGGCTTATTAGATTATATTGATAAAATGCATACCATTGAATTTCACTAAAAGACCTATGATATATGTTATAATGTATATTGCGAATATATTGATTTATGCATTTTCGTAATATGTGTTTTTAGTAAAGTTCTAATATCGATAAACACGAGTATTAAAAAGAAGATGCTTAAATAATTATTCTTTACTATACATATGCAGCAGAACTCTATTATTTTTCTCTACATTTGTGCTATAATCATACAGACACTCACACGTACACGCGGTAAACTTTTTGTGAGTTTAGCATCTATATTTTTAATTGTTACAAAAGTGTAAACTACATTATGTACAATAAGAAACAGAATTTACATAGCCTATAATTACAAATGAATAGAATTGGTGGTGTATATATTATATATATATTATATAACATATAATATCTCGATGCATGTGCCCTAAGATTGGACACCAACAATTCCATTCAATGTATAAGAATATTAATGACACATGTGATACTCAAAGAATTTTATAAAAAATTAATAGCACAGGCCTGGAGCTTCCTTACTTGCAACATTAATTATAAAATTATGATTATACGTGTAAAAACTTAAACAAGAAGAACAGAAAAAATGAAACAATATAAGAATGATTAAACAAACAAACATACAATATATTATTTCACTGTAATTAGTTTTAAATGCCAACGAAAGATTATTACATACACGTATATATATTTTGTGCTTTTAGCTTCCAATTAAGAATTAAAATAAAATAAAAAATTAATTAATACTTTTTGTCGGATGTAATTTTAAAAACGTTTATTTGTATATGAATATGAAAAGAAAATATTCTTAATTGTGAAACATTTTGAAAAATATATTCTTATTACATTTTTCGTGTTTATTTTTAACGTAGATTCTTTTTTATTTTTGTATTTTTTACCAAGCACATCAAATACAGTATCATATTTTTTTCAATCGAGGGTAATAAACGTTTAATACTATTTTAATAAGTTATATTTCGTCTTCTGTATTTGTAATTTATTCTACAATTTTTATAAGACTTAATGTTGTAATATTATCGGCCACGTGGTTAATTATTTTTTTAATTTAATCTAATTTTATCTAAAATTAGATATTAGAAAATCATTTACTTAAATAATTTTGTAACCACGTAACTATATTTAAGAATATAATATTTATCAGTTAAAATAATTATTTAATGTTAATTAAAGTAGCTATAATTCCTTAGCACAATATATCAATTCTTTATTGATGAACAAGTTGAAAATTGTTATTATTCGATAAATATTTTCTAATATTATATAGTACATAATGCTATTAATATCATATGTATTATAACGAAATATAAAATTTATTTTACTTTCTATTTTTTTGTACTCTGTGTATTTAATTTAATTATAAAGTATAGTTTTTATACTTATTGTTTCAATTATAATTATTATATAATATACAATCTTTTGATCGGATAAATCACGGGAAATAGAAAATTTGCTTATGGAATAAGTTAAAAACCAAAGGTCAACCATTTTAATACAAGTGTGTGATCCAATATGTTTTAATTAATTTTAAATGTAAATATCTCCTGAATAAATATTCAAAATGATATAGTCATAAGGATCATTTTTGTTTTTTTTCATACTCGACAAGAATATCGCAAAAAAATATATATAATTTCAATTAAAAAAATGTCGATAGCTTTGAAATTTCGTAAAAATGTAACCTTGAAAAAAAAATGATTTCAATCATTAGATTTCTCGCTTGCAATAGTGTAACTCTTTCTTTGCAATGAGATTGTAAACAAAAAAGACATCTGGATAGTGTGGTTTAGGTAAGACACGCTGTATACATGCGCACGTTTTAATAAAAATAATTGCGTTCAGATATGATCGGTTAGAGCGCTGTCATACTATTTTATGCTACTGTACATTACACATGATTTTGATTGTATATTCTATTGTATTTTGTAATGTGTTTGTACAATCAAATAGCTTTTTTTAAAAGTTATAAGTGTAAACAAAACAGTTTTATATCTAAACTTTTAAAGTTCGTTTTTTAAATTGAAGAATTTTCGTGATGCTAAATGTATTAAGTTACTACGCATGTGTAGAAAAAAAAACGTAGTTTATTTGATATAATTTGTCATTTATTCTAATTAATTGTATATGAGAGTTTTATAAATTACACATTAGAGGTTAATACAAATTTGATATAATTAACACAAGTGTATTAAAGTAAATGTATAAATTATTATTAATATCTCAAAGAGATATTAATTAATTATTTAAAATGTGGTTATTACAATCTCGTAAAGGTAATATTGTATATCTTAATATATTATTACAATAAGTAAATCATATAAATCGAATAATGTATCAATTTTGATTTTAGGAAAACTCATATATTTAAAACCGAACATTCCACTAACAATAGGAAGAACGAAAGGTGATATTATTTTATCACACGATGCTTCGATAAGTAAAATTCATGCTTCTTTTGTAGTTAAGACTGAAATGCAAATTGTGGTAATTTATAGTATATTGAGAAATGTTTTTTCTTTTTTTTTCTTTTCTTTTTATAATAATTCTATTCAATTTCTTTTCTATACTTGTGTCATTTTTTAGAATGGTAAAGCTACAACTTTATGCATACTTAAAGATGAAGGATCTAGATATGGAACTTATATTTTTAAAAATAATGAATATGAAAAGATTTCAACAAATGTTCATTTAAAGGATCAAGATTTAATTAGAATTGGCATACAATATGAAATATTTATGTAAAGTTTTCATATATACATATCTTCTATTGTTATTCTTATATTTGAGATTAACAAAAATATATATAGTATTGTTATTATATTGTGTTGTTTGACAGTGTTAAATATATTCCTATGATTACATTAACGTCTGGATTAGAAGAAGAGGAAAAGAATAAACTTGAAGGAATAATGAAACAAATAGATGGTATTATTTTAAACAATTGGCAACAGCATTGTACACATTTAACGGTGCTATGTCCAAAATTAACGGAAAAGGTTTCTAATTATTTTTTTTCTTTCTTTGTTATATTTCTTTTTTTATTTAAACCTCGATTATATTTGATATTATATATCTATTTATATATGTATTTTTTTGTTATTTAGGTAGCTGTAGCATTAGCAGCTGGTATAGTTATCGTTACCGTTGATTACTGGGAAGCAGTGAAATTTGCTATGGAAAATGATGAACATCCAATTCCTAAAACTGATAATTATATACCACACATAAAGGAAGAATATATTCCCAGAGGAATAGTTTCTCTTCGTCCAAATGATAAACGCAAGAAATTGTTTAGTAAAAAATCATTCTATTTCTATGATTTAGACCTATTCCATATGTATAAATTAATGGTAAAATTAGCAGGTAATTCATTCATTCGAATTAAACTAATTTTAATTAATAACACTTTGTATTTTATAAATGATTTAGATGGAGAGGCATTTTTCATAGATTTGAAAATTAACCAAGATTTGTGGTTCAAAGAAGATGCCGTTCATATACAAATTAATAAAGACAATGAATTATTGAGAATTTTGAGGCGACACTACAATAATATATGCAAGTTGATTTTGTTTGTATGTAAATAATTTCGATGATTTTATTAATTGGAATGTTTTATTTTTAGTTCGGACGTTGCAACGTAATAAACAAAGATTTATAAATGATTGTGAAATACCACTCGCTATTTTATATTGTTCTATCGAAAAGTACTGTAATCCAAAATATCAGTTTTCAAATGTTTTTAAAAAAGAAGAAAAAGTTGATTTTTTTTTACCTGAAACACTTGTAATGGATACACAAGATCTAGAACTGATAACAAAAGAAGTTTCTGCACCTACACAAAGATCTTTCTATAGAAAGCAAAAAGATGATGTTAAGAAATCATCCGAATTTGTTGATAATATTGACAGATACACCGAAGTATCTGTAAGAGAAAAATCAGATGATGAAATATCAGAAATTCTAATATCAGATGATGAGAAAGTATCAAAAAATTCCGTACAACCTTCTACTTCTTCATCTACATTTCTACCAAAATTTACGGAATCAGAAGAAAGTAGTTCAAGTGATTTATTTATTGATAACGTTGAAGTTTGTGAAAATTCATCAAATGAAGAGCAAGATACATCTACAGCAAAAGAATCTCAATCATTTGTGGGGCAACAAGAAACTAAAATTACAGAAAACTTGTCTACAATGAAAGTATCAAGTAATAAATGCTTACAAAACGAAGTAAATTATTTTATCTTCTATGTGATATACACAAATTTTTTCTTTTTATTTAAAAATATTTAATATTTTGTACAGAATACCACAGAGAGAACTATTACGTCAAGTATATTAAAACAGAAACGTCCAATTGGAAAAACATTTCGAAAGGTTAGTGAATTAATGCATTTTACATAGAAATGTTATATAATTTTGAAAAATTATTATGTATATACTATTTAATTATATATTTTTATTAATTTATTTAGGCAAATATTAAAATACCTGAAAAGAGAATAAGATTTTAGCCACATAAGCCACATTGCAGAAGATTCTATTAATGTTTAAGTAAACAATAATTTTGTAATAAGCATTTTGATAAATAAAGAAAAAATGTATTATTTTCGGTACAAATCTGGAATATTTCGGACTAAATATTTTTACCGTTATGATCTTAAAAAAGCTAACGTACCGAATGTATTTAAATCATTTTATATTTGGCGGCCATCAAAACACTAATATAAGATGGCGTTGATGTCGTCAAATTTCTAATTAGTAGAAATCATCAATAGTGTTATGTATTTCATGATATTCATAGTACAAGAAAAAACATTGAAATGTAGTGTTTGTTGTGTACACGTGATGGTATTATAAGAAACGTGATTTTTGTTTAATCACAACGTGAAAATTTATAAATATTGAGAAATGGTAAATGTTCTGAAAGGAATTCTTGTGGAATGGTATGTAAGTTTATGTCACAATAAAGTAAACATAATAATCTGAAAAAGTTACATACTTTTAATTTTTTTTTTGTTTTTTTTTTTTTATATATAGTTTAATTGTATGTAAAATGATATTGTGTGCAATTTAAATATCATTTTTTCCCAGTGATGCAGCTATGAAACAATTTCTTTTACATTTGGACGAAACTCTCGCTCTGGGAAGAAAGTTTATAATACAAGATCTGGATGAAAGGCATTTATTTATTTCTGTTGACATTTTAGAGACATTACAAGCCAAAGTGGATGACCTTATGGATCAAATATCATTTCCATTAGCTGAAAAAGGAATATAAATAATAATATAAATTAAAAAGAAATAAATTTTTTGTATAAGTTAATTGGTTGTACAATTAATAAAAATGTCAGCAAGAGAATCAGGTAGGATAAAGGATGCTTATCAAAAAAGAGTCCTCGATGATGCTGCTCGCAAGCGTAGACAAAAGAAAGCGCTGGAAGCTTTGGAGCAAGATAACTTTCACGATGATCCGCACGCTGATTTAGGTGAATTTTTTAAATACTATTTAGTATATTCTATTATCTCTCTTTCTCTCTCAGAGTTTTGTAAATTTAATTTTATATGTAAAATATTAATAATTAAACAATTTCACTTCTTAAAATTAATATAAGATTATTTTCAGTAATGAGCAAGAAAGTACCCAAATTTCAGGAAACATTGGACAATAGAGGTGGTAGAAAAAAGAAAACCAGATCTGCGGAATATTATAAGCAACGTTTTCGTAAAACATTTGGCCAATTGGTTGAAGAAGATCTCAATGCGAATCCATCTCCACCTAATTATGTCTCTGCGCAAGCTCCCCCATCTCGTTTTCCTGAAAGACATTTTTGTGCAGTTTGCGGTTTTCCTAGTAATTACACATGCATTCCATGTGGAGCTAGATACTGCAGTGTCAAGTGTTTAGGTACACATCTCGATACAAGATGTTTAAAATGGACAGCTTAGATTATTTATTTTTTTTGTCCTTATCGTACTATAAAGAAAATATAATTGAACATTTACAAAGAAATAATTAAAAATAATATTTTATATGAAAATTTATGATCCTTTTATAATATAAATTAAAATATGTATATAAATTTATAAATATTATAACAGGATTAAAAAAATACTAAACATAATTATGTATAATTTAATTATGTAATAATGAAAACCAAATCGTTCATATAAATATTCATATACACATATGACATAAACAATGCAAAGAAAATATTAGTAATCATATTAATAATAAGAAGATATTTTTGTGGGAAGCAATGAAATACACAAAGAGCTGTCTTTAGTTAAACATTTTAAATTAATCAACAGATTTATCTATTAATAATTGGACTGTTTATTATAAAAGTGGTGTGTTCATTTTTGAGAAAGAAAAGTTAAAAAAACACCTACTTTTAATATTTTATTTATAATTAATTGAAATTTTGTTTTCTTAATTTTTTCTCATAAGTTGACTTGCAGCTCTGCACTAATTATGGAAGTGTTTTTTTTCTTTTTAAGTAATTTAAAGAAAATTAATCATGTATCCGAAGATAACGTAGGGAATTAGGAAAGTATAACAAGCACAGCTAATAAGGGTTCATAGTATCGTTATCGTTAGTCACGATAATGACAGTATCGTGTAGAATATCTCTACGGACAAGTATGGAAAAAATGTTTGCAAATTTAATTATTGTGCGACGAATAAAAGGAATAAAGTAAAGAAATCGTATCGTATCCGCGTATTTAAAAAGTTTTATTTAGTGTTAACCATAGTAATATCAAAGTGTTTGCTGTCAAAGTGTTTATAGGTTAGTTCGAGTTAACATAACGTGAATTTCACACAAATTATCACTGTATATGTATTTATATACGTAATAACGTAAACGATTAATAAATCACTTTTTAATGATTTTTTTAACAAGTTAATCTTGCATTGTTATTTTGCATGTTGATCGTTTTAAAAATAATACTTTTTAAACCTACTTAACAAGCCTAAAATCAAATACAAAAAATAAATAAATGAATATGTATATATTGTAAAAGTGGAGAGAAAAATTGAATTTTCATGACAATAGTATGATTTTAAATAAAACAAATAATTTTGAATCTCCATTTATCTGTAAAAAAAATATATCTATCAGTCGATAATTTCAATGCGATCGGTAACAGTAGGAATCCTTTCGATCGTCGATAATGTAGGATAGAAAAGTTAGATTAAGATAGAAAGAGAAAGATAAAAAGAATGAGATAAGCGATAAAGTAAATATAATAGTTCGAATGTATATCGACGGTATGTGTCATTGAAATTTGCCCTCTATCGGCGTGTCCTCGCGTTAATTCGATCATCAGGTGTTTGAAAGATTTACACACGAAGAATAATAGTTGTTTGCTTCAGCCTTTCCGTCCTTTTCTTATTCTTCTTCTTCGACAAGTGTGTGCGTGTGCGTGTGCGTGTGTTTTGTTGTGTCGAGGTGCGTACGCACGCGTGCGTACGCATATATGTATGTGTGTATCTCTCTTGGGATTAGTTGAATTAAATTTATTCAAAAAAATAAATGAATTTTCGAAAGCGCGAGAAGAAAATAATAACAGGAAAAGAAGAGAAGATTTCAAATGACATGAAATAATTTTAAATGTTATCGTCCAATCACAAATAATCAGTTAAATGGTAATCAGTTAATGGGACAAGTTTTTCTCCTCGAATATTATTTATCAACGAAATAGAGAGAGAAGTACTTAAGTAAAGTATATCAACAAGAAAACAAATAAGAAATAAGGTAAATTATTAACACATTTATATATAGAACATTTTCTTTTATTATCCGTAGGTGCAATTAAATAAAGTAGGTTTTTCATTTTGCTCTTTCTCTTTCTCTCTTTCTCTCTCTCTCTCTCTCTCTCTCTCTCTCCCTTTTTAATATTCGAAATAAAAATATAACATAATTTGATTTTTGATTGCACCTTTAGACGTTGAGTTTAAAAAAAAAATTAAAAGAAAGATAGAAAAAAGGAGAAAAAAGAAAGAAAGAAAGAAAGAAATATAGAAAAGGGAAACTAAAAGGGGAGTTAATGTTGATATCAAGTGGGACAAGGTAAAAGGAAACGAACGAACTAAGTTTTCTCGTCCTCTCGATCTGATCACGAACGTGGACGCGGATGTTCTTACTTATGTTTGTACGCATCTCGATAAGATCTTTTCATCTCTCTCTCTCTCACTCTTCCTTTCTTTCCATCTTTTTCCTTCTCTCTCAGTCACTGTTTCAAACGTTTTCTCAAAGGTGTGCGACTGTTTAATTGCAGAGTTAATTACGGTCGATCCGTACGACGTAATATAAGTGCTATGACGAGTTTAAACTCTTGCCCGGATAAAAGTTCATGTCATCGTGATGACTCCTCGAGGGATGCTGAATTGGATGTTAACAAGTTGGAGAATAAACTTCCAGAGGAACTATGCCGCTTAAATTCACAAGTTGCTGGTCATTACTTTGATAACGAAAAAAATTCGATAGGTAAGTTAGTTTTTTTTTTTTAAATTATTTTTCTTGATTATCTTTCAATGGATATCCATGGAATAATAATAATCTATGGAACAAAATGGTATAAGTTCATTTTCGTACAAAAAAAAAAAATGGAGAAAATATAATTTTTTATTAATTACCAATGAAAAATATATAACGCGATTAGCGTGTTTTCTCAATTTTTATTCTTTTTCAGAATTATACTTACGTCACTTTCATAATAAGAGGTCCAATTATTTAATTATACTTTTTTTTATATGTTTTTAATTATATTTTATGTTTGTTTTAAGTAGAAAAAGGGCGTATGTTACACCAACTGTTTCATTCATTACTGCAACGTGAAGCGAGTTTTTTTTAGATTTTCTTGGAAATTTTATTAAATGTAACCGTAATTGTCTTTATTACTCTCTCACTCTCTCTTTTATGGATTTGAGGGGTTCCGGTTCCTTTACAATCGTTTAACAAAAATTCTTAAATCTATCTTGCATTTCTATATTACAAATCTGTACAAATTATAAAAGACAATAATTAATATTTAAATAAAAATCAAAATATATTAATATTTACATACAAATAAAAATTATTATCTATTATTAAAATTGAATTGAAATTATTAAATTTAACATACATTCTTCTTTTAGACCCTTATTTTTTTATTATATTTATTTATTAATTAATTATATTTCACAAACGTAACTTCATTACATCTTCTCAACGACGAATTTAAATATTAATGCCAGTAATTGCAATACTTGATTAAGTTTAAAAATAGAAGAAAATTAATTTCACGATTTATTTTATAACGCAAATAAAAAATAAATTATAAGATAAATTTTTCTAGTCCACTATTATAATTACCAATATACATACAATACATACATGTATATTTATATATATGTAGGTATATATTTATTAGCTTACATCATCGAAGCTTCTTATTAGATAGGATCTAATTGAAATTAGAATTGTTTGAATTAGATCGTTCTTCGAGAGGTAAACAATTTTACCTCTTTACGCGTGATCCATCTTCTTTGACGTCAGTTAGTTGGTTAATACGTGACGTCATCTTAATCTCATATAATGATCCTATTGTCATACATTTAAAGTATCAAGCTTATCATTGGGTTTCATATCTTTATACGAGAGATATTTTTCACGATTATTCACAAAGGAAAATTTATTTCACTTTTTGAGAACAAATATATTTTTTTCGTCAGGAATCGCTCAATTTTGTTTCCCCCTCTCTCAACAAAAAAATAATAATTGTCTAATATAAAATACTAGAGTGGGATGAAAATTGTTGAGTCTCAACAACAACACAAAATTTTTCTTTTCTTTTAAAAATAATAATGAGTGAGACCGAAAAACAAATTGTTTCTATGTTAGGTTCAAAACTTTTCACAATCTGCCATCCGAGTATATTATTTTTATTTTTTTTTTATCGATTATTCTTAATTTATCGTTAATCCTCTAGTACCTCGAAATTTTCCACTAACAATAAATAAACAAATATTATAAATGCTATGATATTTTTCTCCTTAAATCAGATAACTTTTATCTAAACGATTTTTCTTCAACAATGTTGTGTTCTCGAGATAAAAATTAGTAATGCTTTATTTTGAGCATCCGGTATAATAAATAGAGAAATAATTGTTTTAATGATATATTAAAAATAAGATTTGCATGTTGTTATGTTGAATTATTTTCAATTAATTTAATTAATTAAGCAAACCAATAAAAAAAGAATAAAAATATGATTGCAAGGGATAAATAATTAGGTGGAGGATGGGGTGGGGGGTTCATCAATTAAGAAAGAATCGCATAATTAATTTATGCCATCGCGTTATTGTAACTCGCACTTGTTTTTCCATTGGAACTTATGCAATCGGTTAGGCATAGAAATTATGTTTCCAGGTATGTTACGTACTCCATTGGGTCGTGTGTTAAAACCTATCATTAAGCCTCATCTCGGTGAAAGAGAAATAACCTTCTATGAGAATTTAAAAAGCTCTCAAGACGAGACGACCTTGGAATTGAGAAATCATGTGCCCGAATATTTCGGTACGACGGAAATATTATACTCCGAAAAAAGTACGTAGTATAGATCATCGTTAATTCTTGTTTTAATTATTTTATTATAATTTTAATTAGACTTGATGCACACACATAAAAATAAATATATAATATATTTAATTAAAATTCTTTTATTAGAAATTATATGTAAATTAAATATATAATTGTAATATATATTAATTATTTTCAATAATTGTTATATTATATTAAATATAATAGTAGTAGTAGTGTATTCAATATAATACATGTAAATTTATGTGTATATATTGCAAATGCAAATATAATATATATTTATCTAAACATATTTAATATATTTATATTTTAATCTTGTGGTAAAAAAATATATAAATATTATAATAAATTTAATTTTTCTCTCGATTTTCTTGCCAATTTCATTGAATTTAATGTAATTGAATTAAATTTTTTTTTAAATAGAAATACAATTCGTCGTCCTGCAAGATATAACAGATGGCATGGCTGAACCATGCGTGATGGATATCAAAATTGGTAAACGTACGTGGGATCCTTTGGCTAGCGAAGAAAAAAAAATTAGCGAGGAGAGGAAATACGCGCAATTGAAGGAAGCTTATGGCTTTTGTATCACAGGTTTTCAAGTTTATTGTCTCCCGAATGGCGAGCTTAAGAAATTTGACAAGAATTATGGCAAGATGCTAACTCCCGAAGGAGTTGTCGAAGGTACCGATGAAATGTTATTTACAAAATCAAGTAAAAGGGATGAATCGTATCGAAATTTATCTAGATATAATAATATCGAATATTTTAATTATAAAATTTTTCTAAATTTTCGATAGTATTCAAATGTATAAATAAAATGTATGATACAAAAAACAAATTTTAAACTTCCAGTATAAAAATGAATTATTCACTCTGTATAATATAATTATAAATATATGAAACATGTGTCGATATTTGTTTTATCACATTTTTAAAGAATGCTTTAGAAAGCACTTACAATCGGTTATTTGTCTACTATGATATATTATAACTAGATAAATCTGAATCGTTTTAGTTAAATATTAAAAAAAAAAAAAAAAAAAAAAAACAAAAAATAATTTTCACAGAAAAAAAGAAAAAACCAAATTGATTAATATTTCTTTAAGCATTGAAGATCTTTTTAAACGTGACACCACAAAGGCCAAAAGTGTATCGTCTGCTGATCGTCAAATTATTGTCTTTGCTTTGGGAGATCCTCGTTATATTTCGTAAGCAAACAAATTTTCGTTTCTATTCGAGTTCGCTGTTGATCGCTTACGATGCTGGAAGGTTGCGTTATTGCTTGCATTTGGAAAAAGAGGATAAGAAGGAATTATCGAGGTATTGTCAACGTGCCAAATCCTTTTCTTCAACATTGTCCCCGACAATGGATAAGGAGAAGAATTTGGACAAGGATCAAAGTTGTTCATCAAAAGATACATCAGCACCACCATCACCAACACAAAGTGTATCATGTTTACGAAGAAAGGTTTTAGAAAAGACGCGATCGTTGAAACGTAGCGTGAGTTTACAATTCGGTAGTAAGGAATGTTCGAGTTCTTTTGAAAAGGATAATACTACTAAGGAGAATAAGAAATTATCACCCATTTTAAAAAGAAACGATTCCTACGATCCAAATTTTAAAGTAGATAGACTGTGTCGTACCCATTCACAAGTTCATAATTTCGATCAGGAGTTAGCCAATATGAAGGAGGATTACTTCGCACTTTTGAACGAACTAAGTAATACATCCGAGGACAAGAACAATTGGGTCAGGGTGAACATGATCGATTTCACTCACGTCTTTCCTGCACCAAATGAGACCGCAGGCTTGGACTTCAATTATCTCGAGGGTATTGGAAATTTGATCAAACTTTTCGAGACCTTTCTTACATAAAAAGAATAAAAAAAAAAAAAGACAAAATTACGAGAAAAAACGACAATCCATCTTGACGTTTAATAACACGTAAGAAGAAAATATTACGATCAATGATCTATATAGAGACATATATGTATATGAATATGTATATGTTTATCATGTATTATATCTATACTTGATGATCCTGTTAAACCATTTTTTTAACGAAAGTCTATACAAGACTGGAATTCATTACCTTTAGTTTCTTCTTCTTCTTCTTCTTTTTCTTTGGTAAATATGAGATATATAGAAAGAGAAAAGAAATGACTCGTATATGTATATACATATATTTTGTTTTTGCATGTCAAAAAATTATTGACACAAATAAAGATAAAACTAATCGCATTGTTATAATTGTTATTATTATTATTATTATTATTATTATTATTATTATTAGTATTTTTTATTTTAATTTTAATCATTCATACTCGCGTAAACAATTTTTACAATTGTCGCTGCAAATTTTTTGTCCAGAGTAATTTCAGTTTCTTTATTTTTTCTTGTTTTTTTTTCAGTTCTCGGTTAGCGACCTATCAACTGAAAATAATAATTAATAATAATAATTCGCTTAATTCGTCGTAACATTTATAATAATATTTATAATATATATCTATATATATATATATATATATATGTATATATATAAAGATTTATTTTATTTATTTATATATGTATATCGATTGCTTACGATCATCGCCTGCAGTCACGTGGCACATCGCTCACCGCATTTTCTTACACACTCGTGTTCTTTTTTTTTTACTTTTTTTTTTTGTTCCATTTTTCAATTTATTTATTATTATTTATTTAATTGTTCTCTTTCTTTCGTGTTTTTCCTTTTTGGCACGCGTGTGTCGTACGCGCGAGTGATAAGGATTAAAAATCATTATTACTTTTTTTTTTCTTTTCATTTCTAAGACATCGATCTTAATTAATTTTTCTTGTCTCTTTGTTGTATTGCAAAGAAGAAAAAATAAAAGAAGAAAAAATAAAAGAAGAAAAAAAAAGTAAAAAAAAATAAATGGAATAATAAACCAATCGAAAACGACGGTATTATTACAGTTTACGATTAAATTTTCTCTTTGCAATAGAGTAAACATTTTTGTCTATCCTTTTTTTCTCTCACGTGTTGTTGCATGTATTTTTTGTTGTTGTTATTATAATTTAATATTTTAGTTAGCTCTTAGCTCATACAAATGAGGATTAATTAGCGTTGGCTCGCGTACGCGACAAACAATTTTTATTTCATTTCTTAACGAAATAATACAATTGAAAAGACACGAGTTAATAAGAATATTTCGCAAAATTTTTATTCTTATTAAAATTATTTGCAATAACTTATGTCTATGAAAAATACAGGGTGTATCAGAAAATCGTTATTCATTTCAATTATTTCGAGTTTTATTTTTCCCAAAAAAAAACAAGGAGGAAAGGGATACAAAAAGTAAATAAATGATTACAAATTTGATTAATCGAAATAGAAGCTTATTAATAATTTTTCATTCGGAGCCTCCGAAGATATAAACGTGACTGTAAATGTAATAATAATAATAATAATAATAATAATATTAATAATAATAATAATAATAATAATAATAATAATAATAAAGAAAAATAGCGATTTTTGAAACACCCTGTAGAAACGGATACAACCGTTTGTGTGTAACATAATTACTAGGAGCTTTACTATCGATCATGGCGAAACTAAATCATCTTCTTCGTTATTATTTCTTTATTTCCTATTTATATATATATATATATATATATATGTTTTTCAATGTATCGCCGATTTTCCAGAAAGGAAAAATTCGTTGAACAATATTTCTTGCAATAGCGTAGAAAATATGAAACGTTTATTTTTTTTCTTTTTTTTTTTTCTTTCAAAGTTAACAACATGTTAGTCGTTAAAAAAATAACGACGATGGTATTAATAGCAATGAAAATAATTAATACAATAATAATAATAATAATGTTATTGATAAAACTAATAGTAATATTAATAGTAAGTAGCACTATATCACATAATAAATACCATAAAGATTACGTATACTTTTAACATAAGAGTATTTCTAATAATAATAATAATAATAATAATAATAGTAATACAAAAAAAAAGGGGAGAAAATAAAATAAGAGAGGAGCTTCAATGAAACAAGAAATCTAACTAATCAGCCATTATTACATATATGCATATAAGTTTTACGTACACAATGAAACTTTAACTTTCCACTCATGGACACATTTCGATACATACAAGAACGCATCATCGTCGTTTTGCGTGTTTAACAATCAAGTCAACGTGCAGCTGCACGAGATTATATTTTTTATATACATACGCAGTGCTTTTTTTCTTTTTTATGATTGATAAAAGGAAAATTGGTACCGGAACTAACTTCTTGTGTCAAGGATTTTTTTTTTTTTTTCTTATTATAAAATAAATTGTATTCAAATATCGTTGAGAAATGAAAATTAAAGTATATTTTTCTATGCTACGGAGCTCGTAAAAAATTAAACATAATTTATCTTAATTTTTTTTTTTGTTTTTTCTTTTTTTTTTATTTTACAATTAGTAGATATTATCGAGTCTAAAATTAAACAAACGAATACATGAGGAACATCATATATTTTCTTGTTCGCTTTTGAAATATTTAAAATATCGTAAAATAAAAGGTATCGAAATTCCGTTGCAGTGCGTTACATTATAAAAAAAGCACTGTACATACGTATATATATATATATATACATGTAGATATATATATGTATATAAGTATGTTTTAAACATGTATATCACAATCTCGATCGCGATATTTTTAAATAATTAATTGTAAGAATAAGTAATACTCAATATTCACGAGTGATTTTTCAAAACGTGAAAATTAAGAAAACACTCGTAAAGATTGACGGAGAGGTTCGAAATTTCGGTGTTGTAAAAAGAACAAAAAGAAAATGAAAAAAGAAAACAAAAGGAAAACAGAAAAAAAAAAAAAGAAAAATCGACAAATTTTTATTTGCTTTCATTGAATAATTATGGCTTTTTATTTTCTCGTTCGTGGGCTGTCTGTGATCGATGGGGTTTATGAGAAAGAAGAAAGTACTGAAACATCAAACTTGTGGCTTTCGGCGAATCTAGTTTTTTTTTTCTTTGCAACGGTCTCGTTCTTGTTATTATTTTTCGTTTTTATTTCTAATTTTATTAATTTCGTTTTTCTTTTTTTAATTGTTCGTTTATTTTTTTATTTTGGTCGCGTTGTTGTTTTATTATGTTTTTTCTTTATAAATCAATAGACACGATACGCCGCGAAGGATCACAGTCAAAATGGCGTGAGAATAGTATTTTTAATTTTATTTAATTTAATTTAATCTAACAATTTTGCTAATATCAATAATAGTACTAGTAGTATTAATAATAATAATAATAATAATAAATGTACTAATTAAAATAATAAATGTACTAATTAAAATAAATTGTTTTTAGTTTTTTCTTTATTACGATATTATTTTATTTTCGTTTTTCATCGCAAGTTTAAGAAGAGAAGTCTAAAAGAAAACAAAAAAAAACAAATTTTTAATGCAACGTAATGTAATTTTTCCTATCCTATAGAAATCTATTAATATTAATATTAATATTAATATATCTAATATCTAACAAAGCACCATTATTGAGAGCGTAAAGAGGAACAAAATTATTTTATCGTTGTCCTCGTTTATACGCTTTTTTTTAATTTTAATGATTTTCTTCTTTTTTTCCGTCTTTTGTTAATATTTTGTTTAAACCAATCACAGATAATCGCCAAACGCTTGGTAAAGTTTTTTTTCGATATGTTCGATATTTTGTATATATAATCAATAATTAAATTATTTTCTATTTCAAATTGTGGCGTCTTGTTTTAGATTGAAGAACACTGTTAATCATTTTATTATTTTTTGTGCGTATCATTTATGGCATTTATATACAAATATTTAACTGACAATAAGATAATTCTGTGTGTGCAGATATTCATAATAATAATAATTATTATGTAAAACAATGTTAAACTAAATTAACATTTTTAAAACGAAAATTAAATTTCGTACGAAGAATTAGGAAAATTGAAAATGTAAAAAAAAGGAAGAAAAAAAAAAGAAGAAAAAAACGTATAGGATTAACTATCGTATAAATTAAATCGTGGCGTATCGTGCTAGTTCCATTGAAAGTTGCGTAGAACTTCTAATTGTAATATAAATGGACACAACGTTCATCGGTGATTTTCTTAGTTCGAAGAAGAAGTTGTTTAAAAGTAACAGTTCTGGTTAATTCAGACATTTCTCAGTATCGAGAAATACGTCTCAATGGTATTTACAGGGTAAATCAAAAGTTCTTAAATAGGATCAAACATTCCTTATGTTATTCAAAATTGGAAACAACAAATAATTATTCTCAAAAGTTTTTTTTACGAAGAAGAATAATCGATTTTTGTGAAAATTATACCTAATAACTTTTGATCCAACCTTATAAATATATAAATATAAATCATACACACATGTGTGTCCGTAAAAAATGACGTCGAGTTGATAAGCCTTATTTTATTGATTAAAATTTGTTCAAATTTTTCTTAAGAGATTAATCACTTGGACTGTGAAAACAACATTACATTTATTTTTATAATGAATTCGTTGATCATATTTAAGCATTGTAAAAATGCGTGCGAAATTTGCAAAATTTAAAAGGATGCTCGACCAAATATTATAATAATAATAATAATAATAATAATAATAATGAAACCTGTTTAAGAATAATCCCCTTCAGTAATCTCTGCTTGTTTTAAGAGATGACTAAAAGGGAAACCACTAACGCATTATTAATCACTAATAAACATACAAATAATTAATTAAAATGAAATAAAGTTAGTATAAAAAGAAGAGAAAAAAAGAAACAAAAAGTAGAAGACAAAAAAAAACATTCACAATTGTCGATGGCAGCAAGCAAAAAATGGCTTTTATTATTTTCTTAATTTTTTATCTCTATCATTTCTCTCTCTGTATGTGTGTGTGTGTTTGAGTATATGTGTGTTTTTTTTTGTTGTTTTCTCACGAGTCAATGGACCATCTCAAGGACGACGGATAAGCGAGACGTCCAATCGAAACGATCGATCTTTTTTCCGCTCCCGTAATTATGTCGATCACGATTGCCGAACCTTGGACAGAAAATAGAATAACACTCGCACGCAAACTCACACATATACTCGATCAATCATAATGCACGTACAATATATTATATATTCGAATACGTAAGCAC